CCTTCCATGCACTGGCCGGTGCTTTAACCACTGGGAACACTGGCCAAGGCAATGCTGCTTCCTAGAAGTGTGTGAAAACCAAGCAATATTCAGAAAGATGTCCCCTCCCCGATGACTCCAGTGGCCAGGAGCAGGTGGACTTTGTGAGAAGACAGGACCAGACTGGGAAAATAGGAGTGTCCGTGGGAAGGAGAAAAGGGGTGACAGCATTTCCGTTTTAATCAAAATGCTTTTCCGTTGCTGATGCGGTCATGGCAGTGAAGGCTGTGGTCTAGAGCGACAGACTGTGAGCTCATACAAACGTGTCCTGTGCTTCAAAGCTGGCTGGCATGCTGGTCTCACGTTGGCCATTCTGCAGCCTGTGCCGTGGAGTCTGTCCGTCGCCAGTCCCGTGAATGAACCCAGGTTCTTTTCCTCTGAATTAGGAGAAGGCTCCACCTCCTCACAGTCTTCCCTGGTGTCTGAACAGCAGTGAAAGCTCTGAGCAGCCAGAGCTGTGCTCCATGGAGCAGCCAGGCCTGGGAGGTGTCCCCTTCTCTCTGCTGGACTCTGTGCTTGGCCCTGGTCCCTCTGCCATGGCAGGACCTTTGTTCTTACGCTCCTGTGGGGTCACATGGGCGCCGCTGGTGAGCCGTGTGGGGCACTGAGTTAGTGGGTCAGGTGCAGGCCGGTGTCCTTACCCCAAGGGTTGGACAGGATAGGACACCTGAGTCTCTGAAGGCTGGCGAGGGGGTGGCACCAGAAGAGGGGCTGGTGATGAGTTCTGGAAGAGATTTTCACTGAAAGGTAGGCCACAAGTGAGGAAAGGAGGTCATGCATTAGGATGTTGGTAAGTGAACAGGTTTCTGAGATGGGGAGTCGGTTTTTGCGTGGGCTCTTCTGTTCTGACCGGTGGGCATCATGGGACATCACCCACGTAGAGGCATGGCTCTGAGAGAATAAACAGTGGCGGGGAGGATAGGAACAAGGATGTGGATAAAAAGACTTTTGATTAATAAAATTTTGGCTCCAGGCGGGACCAGAGCCTTAGGTATCACCCACATCACTTTACAGGTGCCAACACTGCAGAGATTGCCGTAGCAGGACTTGTCCAAGGTGAGAGCACGTTAATGGCCGAGTCGGGGTGAGAAAACAGGTCTTGGGGCTGCTCGCGGGGCAGTGGAGGGCCGGAGCACGACACCTCTCGCACCACTCAGTGCAGGTGGCCAAGAAAGCCAGTGCCACCGGTTGCCCATCAGATACTCTCATCCAGAAAAAAGGCAGGAAGGTTACCCAGAAAGTGCTCATCTTGGTGAGGAACTTGGTGTGAAAAGAAGGTGTGAGTGCGAGGGCCGGTGGAGGACGTTGACCCCGGTAATGGCTGCTGAAGCCAAAGACCAGTCCTGCAGAGTCCTTTTGGGAAGATAAAGCCGAATGGTGCTTGTCCTCCCCATTCCTCCGGACAGCCACGTCCTGAGATGTGGGCACCCCTGGGCGCTAGGAGATCACTAGTGAAGGGAAGGCCGAACATAATAAGACTGAAACTCATACTCTGCCAGCCACCGCCCTGACCATGAACGTGGGCAAGAGGCTCACTTGCTGAACCACGTGTGAATAGAGCGTTGGCCACTCCCTGGACCGCCTGTTAGAGAAGCACATATCTGTCATGCCTGCAGGCAGCAGGACACTCAGTCATCATGCATGCATGTACACACTTGTTGCCCAGAGCTGTACAGTGGTCTCCCCTTGTTCACAGTTTTGGGGATCCACAGTCAACATGGTTCTAAGTTTTTCCAGCCATTGACAGCGTCTGCTCCTGACATCCAGCCATTCACATCGTCACGGCTGAGTGCTCCAGGATCACCTGAAGCAGGTGACCCTCCTTCTGAAGTATGTTCAGAAGGCCAACAGCAGCCTAACGCTGTGTCACAATGTAGGTTTCACTTAATCTTACCACATAGGGATTTATCACCTCTCACCATCAGAAGAATGGTGAGTAGAGTATAGGGAGATATTTGGAAAGTGAGACCACATTTTCACAACTTTTATTATACCCTATTTCCCCCAAAATAAGACAGTGTCTTATATTAATTTTTGCTCCCAAAGATGCACTAGGTCTTATTTTCAGGGGATGTCTTATTTTTCCATGAAGAAGAATACGGTACATATTTATTGTTAAATGAAAATAAAGGAAATTTATTACTGTATATGGTATGGTAGTACAGTAGTTGTCAACACAAACCAAACTGTGAATCAAGAATTTACAGTATCAAGAATTTACTCATTTATTCAATGACAGTCATATCATCATCTTCTGGAACATCATCATAACAATTCCTGAATTTCCTGGTGAATTTCTTGTGACTCCATTTCTTTCAGAATCAGTGGACCAAATCTCTCATGTTTAGCCTAGGGGGGGCCTTATTTTCGGGGGATGCCTTATATATATTTCACTCAGAAGGAAACCTGTAAGTAGGTCTTATTTTTGGAGGATGTCTTATTTTCGGGGAAACATGGTAATACTAGTGGCCCAGTGCAGGAAATTCATGCACATTAAAAAGGAATTAATTAGAGGGAGTATTTTAATATTACTATTTACCCTTTTTCTATAATAGAAGTGTCAGAGCTGAAAGAAAATTAGTAAAATGTATATGAAAATTGCCCTCCTGTCAGTCTGGGGTGCGCCATGGGACCTAGAGTCAAGGCCCCGCCCACCACCCGTATGCGCTTTGGAAATGCAGGAGACTCAGATCTGGCTGGCCCCTCTCCCATTGGGTGAGAACCAAACCCAGCCAGCTCCACCACCATCAAGTCCCTCAGGCCCTGGGGCCTGGTACTGGGTGGGAGTGCAGTCTCGGGTCCCCCATCAAGCCCCACCTGGGGCCCTGGCACAGCCTGAGGTCCCCTGTCAAGCCCTGCCAGGTTTGGGGGTTATGGTCTGAGGTCCCCCAGCCCAGCCCTGGGGTGGGAGGAGGGTGCATGGCCGGAGGTCCCCTGTCAAGCCTCACGGGGGTGGGGGGCGTGGCCTGAGGTCCCTCTCCCCAGTCAGGCGCCATGCAGCTTCAGGTCCCTGCTGTTTGGTCCTGACATTACGGCATCCCAGCTAAGTTGCATATTCCTCTATTATATAGATAGATGTTTTTGTAATTGTTCTATTTTACTAATAGTTGTTAATCACTTATTTTGCCTCATTCACAAAATAAGCTTTATTCTAGGGAGGTACATATAGAGAGGAGACATAGTTCATACAGGGTGCGGTGCTGTGGGTTTCAGCATCCCTGAAACATACCCCTCATGGATAAGGGGGCTGGGCTACCGTGTTCCAGACATGCTTTGCCCAGAATGCCTCTAAGACCTGTCCCCGTGCCCAGCCTTGTGAAATGCACTTTCAGCATCAAGAATGTTCAGTTAAAATGTTCTGTACTGTTACTATTTCTCAATGGGGTTGGATCATCGCGGCCCGGAGGAAGATAACATGGGGGTGGGGTGGGGTACACTGCACTATTGTGGACAAGGGTGTGTGTGTGATTGAGAAATCAGTTGTTGTCTTTGGCAAGGAGTCAAGGGAAAGCCAGCAACAGCGCCGTGATTGAGAAAGAGGCCTGCTTGGGACTGGGCGTGCCTGCGGTGGGAGCGTGCTCACTGGACACCACGTGCCTCCGGCCGGGACTGCGCCGAGGAGGCTCGCCTGGGCCCCGGGTTCTCACGCTGCCGGTGCTCACTGTGGGGTTGGGTGGCACAGGGTGGCTTAGTGGAGGAGCCATGATCTGGGCCGTAGGGCCCAGACAGTGCGATGCTGGCTCGAGTGTGTAACTCGAGTTTGTCTGTGTCAGTACCAGCAGCTCTCTCTGCAGCCTTTCACTGCGGCCTTAACACATCCCCGTTCTGATTGCAATAGTGTGTTGTCTCTAAGGGGCCTGAATGCCTGCTGTCGCCCCACCAACCTGGCTCCTGCCCCCGGCTGCCTCTGCCCACCCTGTTCCTCGGGGCCAGGCCCCTGGGCAGGTGAAGGGCAGCGGTGGGTGGAGGTGGGTCCTGGCAGAGGCAGGGAAAGGCCTGAGGAGTGTGGGTGGGAGGAAAGTCCGTGTTCTGGGCCAGGTGGCCCACATGCCAGCCGTGTGCGCCTGGACCCTCTCCAGTGCTCAGCTCCCACTCGCCCTCCTGCTTCCCTGCGTCGTGGTGGCTCCATTGCTGGCTCCGGAGGGGGCCGTGGGGCCGGTGGGAAAGGCCCTGGGTCCAGGGGTAGGGGCCGGGCACCGTGTCAGCTGGGCCCGAGGTCACTTGTTGACACAGTCTCTGTCTCCGGGGAGGGTCCCATGTGCCAAGCCACCTCTCAGATCTGTAGTGATGGTGTGAGATAACGTGTATGACAGTCCTTCCGAAAACCAAAAACAACCACAGCCACCTTTCATTCAAAGACTATTCCCTGTTTCTTGAAGCCTCTCTTGTTGTCAGGGCCCACCCTGCAGCAAGACCAGCGGGAAGACCTAAAGCGGGGCTTAGGGGAAGGGATGCATGTTGGGGAGCCGCTGTGGTTCTGAGAACATCTGGAGGCCCGGAGAGAGAAGCATCTCGTGTGCATACAGCTCACTTCGGAGCACGCTCACTGCCTGCGGCTCTGGTGTGAGGCAGGTGCAGGCCTGGCCCTCCTGGTCCAGGGCTCTGGCCGAGGCCCAGTCTGTCCGACTGTCCTGGGCTCTTTCCCTCCACCCTCTGAAGGTGGATCTGATTTAGGGTTTGTGTGTGTGTGTGTGTGTGTGTGTGTGTGTATGTGTGTGTGTGCGCGCCAGGGAGTGAGCAGTAGGAGGGGTCCTGTTCTCCTCCCCCCTTTCTGGTCAAGACCAGGTACAGGTGCTTCTTTGCAGAAAACCGTAGGGAAAAGGGGCGCTTTAGGCCACCGGACCCCATCAGTGCCCAGCTCCGGCTCCCACTCCCGCACCCCCTCCCTCCCGCCACCTGCCCGAGGGAGGGCCTCCGGTCCAGCCAGAGCGGCGGCAACCTGTCTTCTCCTCTCCCCACAGGAAGCTGCACAGCGGGATGAAGACGTACGGGTGCGAGCTCTGCGGAAAGCGGTTCCTGGACAGTCTGCGGCTGAGAATGCACTTGCTGGCTCACTCAGGTAGGCACGGATGCCTCGACCGCCTCTCCCTGCACCGCCAGCCCCCTCCTGCCCCCTCCCCTCCGCTCAGGGTGTGGGCGTCCTGCCAGGCCCCGCTCCGCCTCGTCCTGTGGGCGCCCCCTCAGGTTCCCGGGGCAGAGCGTCCGTCCTGCCGCGGTGCTCCGCCTCCCCACGCAGAGTGCGGCCTCATTAGCAGAGCCGCTGTGGAATTAGGTTCCCGCTCTCTAATGAATCTGACTATTGGGTTCACATTACACAGGAGCCTTTAATTAAATAGATATAGAAAGGTTGGAACACAAAGCTAGTTACGCCGTGCTGTGTTTTGCAAGTTAATTTTGCCCAGTTCCAGTGGGGTCGCCTGGGCGGCGGTCGGCATTTTTTCTCGTGTTTGGGCAGCGCTGCTCTGCCCCATGCGGTGTAAAAGGGGGAGAAGCCCTGGCTCAGGGGGGCTGGGTGTTCACGGTGGGAGGAAGGTGCTGCTGGAGGCCCAGGGTCACCGCTTCAGTTGCAGAGTCCTGCCCCACCCTACCCCGGCCCCCTGCCCGGCCTGTGCATGCTTCCTTCTTGTTCCCTGCCTTCAGCTTCGCCAGCACATTTTGGGGGAGAGGAAAGGGCTACCTTCTCATTTGGTCTTGCTCTTTGCTCCTAACAGCTGTCAGCATCTGCTGGTCCTTCCCCAGATTGCTTCTGCAGCTGGGCCACAGGCAGCTTAGCCTCCGTGAAATGAGCCTGGGCTTTGGGTTGGGCAGATGAAGGTTCCATCTTGTCTATGATGTGTGTGGATTGTGGGGCCTTGGGCAGGTCTGCCTTCTGAACCCCAGTGTCCGCATCTGTAAATGCAGGTGTTGCTCCCTCGTATACTTCCTCTCAGCACGAGGTGGTGGGAGGTGTGTGGAAGGCATCCGTGGCTCGCTCACAGGTGCTGTGTAACGAATGGCGATTGCTTCTGCCTCCACCTTCCTCTTGGCCCAGCGGCGATGGCACCTGGGCGTGTTCCTCGCACTGTGCTCCAGAGCTCCTGGCCGGGGGCAGGCTGCAGTCCGTCCTCACTCCATCTCCCGCCCGGACAGTTGTGTGGGTGCGCACGGTGGGTGTCAGTGCCTCGGCCCGCTCACTGTCTTGCCTGAAGGGCCCTCACCCTTTCTCGCTTCCTGCTCTTCCCTCTTCCACTTCCAGAGGCTGGGCCACACCCAGGGGGCATGTTCCCTCCGTCTTTGTGTCCCCCCCTTCCTCCTTCTGTCTGGCCTTTCCCCCCCCCCACACCTGGCTCCCTGACCATCCTCCTGCCGCTGGCCTGTCCCACGCTGGCCGGCATCCCGAGTCCAGGTGTCCCCGCACTCCGCGTCTGCCCGGCACTCAGGACTCCTTTTGTTGTTTCTGTTACTGGCATCGTCTCTCTTCTTGCTTCCCGTCGGCTTTTCATGCTGCTTAGGGTTCAGCGTGGGTTTCCTGAGCCTCTTTGTCAGCAAGGCTGCTCCCCCTCTGGGTTTGCTCTACCTGCAAACCCCTCGCTCCCTCTGCATGGAATAACCATCCCCGTCTTCCCAGACCTTCCGGGTCCCTTCTGCACGGCGCCCGTGACCCCTCCCACCGCCAGCAGGACAGTTGTGCCTTCTTCTGGGCGACATGTCTTTGTCTGCAGCGTCTTTGGGCACACTCTTCCTTCTTCGGGTGGTGGCCATTTATGGGCTTGCCTTGTCTCTTCTCCTTGGGAGTCGGGGTTAGGAATCGGGGCGCCTATCTCCTGACCACGTGCCCGTGGGTGGGAGGTGTAAGCTCTGTGGGCCTCCCTGTCCTCACCTGTCAGCTGAGGAGTCGCCTGCCTCGCTCGGAGAGGCTGCGGCTCACATCACATGCTTAGCGCTGTGCCTGGCGCGTGGCAGGTGCTCAGCGTAGGTAGCCTGCCCTCCCCTCCGCTTCTCCGACAGACGGTAAGCTGTTCTGTCCCTCAGACCCCTCACCCTTCGCAGGGATGTCTTGAAAATAAAAAGCAACGAGGGCTTAGTGAGGCAAGACCACTTCCTAAATGGTGAGACAGTGACGGCAGAGACCTGGCGTTGCGGGGGCAGGGCTGGGGGTGCCAGGCCTTCTCTCCCGCAGATCCTGGCGGCCCTCGCTGGGCCTCCCATCCCCCTGGCTCCTGCTCTGGTTGCGGGACAGCAGAACCGTGTGATGTGTAGAGGAGATGTGCAAGATGTCCTTGCTGCGCTGTGTTGGAGGCTCCATGCGGGAAGCTGACAGCAAGCATGTCCCCCGGGGCTGTGCAGTGCAGACCCATTTTGCAGAAGATGCCCTGGGGCTGGGGCTCCAGAACCCTGGGGACCGGTTTTTTAAAGGGGCAGGTCGTGGAGAAGCGAGCCTGGGGCCCGGGTGGGGGTCGTGGCGTCCTGGCTTCCTCTGAATGTCATTGCTGTCTCTTGCACAGGCACATTCCTGTTGTTGTCTCCTGCTCAGCAGAGCAGAACAGCATGCCCTCCCTCGCTCCCTCCCTGGCTCTGCGAGCTAGCGGTCCCCACCCCCTCTTGGCTAGCACGGGGGTGTTTGTTATTGTAGCGCTGGCGCTGGGCCAGGCCTGGCCGGGAGCCAGCCTTGTGGGTACAGTGTGTACAGTGAGTGCTGAGCCAAGTTTGTCATCATACACGATTAATTTTTTTTTTTTTCCCCTAATCGGGAAGGGGTGGGGTGAAGGAGGAGGCAAGGAAAAGAGTTTCTCCCATGCTTGAGACGAGCCCACATTGAGTCTGCGGAGCTGTTATTTGTGAAGGCTGATGGCTCTGGCTTGTTTATCCCTCAGCGTTTCCCTCTTCCTCTCCTCTCCTCTCCTCTCCTCTCCTCTCCTCTCCATTTCCTTAGCCTCGGAAATCAGCCCTTTCGAGTCTGTCAGTGACTAGACTGCTAAATTTACATTCCTAAATCAGTTTTCATTGTGTGGAAATTGACAATTTGTTTAATTAGAAGTTTGCTCTGTAGGAGGCCCTTTTCAGAGACAATTCTTTCTTTCTCTTTCTCTCTCTCCCACTCTCCTCTTTTTCTTTTCTGAGACCCGCAATGGTGGTAGTGAATGTTCGGTTTAATTGAAGCTTTGGTTTCGATTTGAGTGTGTTAACTAGTCAAGTGTTTACAAGATGTACCTGATGATAACAATAAGTTTAAATTAACCAACATTAACCTCACTCATTAACTAACGAGACTGATCTGGCAAGGCCCCGAATTCGCAGACACGGTTTGGGGGCTCCGGGAGGGTGCGAGGGCTGGGAGAAAGGCTGGGGCCGGAAGGGTGGCCGCCCCCATGCTTTGCGGAGCTGGTCCTCCTGCCACATGAACCTTGGGGACAGGACGGTGGTGGCCGTGAGCAGGGAGGAGCCCAGCCCCTCGGGGTCCCAGGCTCACCCTGCACTCCCCGTCCTCACAGGCGGTGGCCCCATGGCTGCCTGCGGGCGCGATAGGGGCGGGTGCTGTCTCTTTGGCGCGCCTTGTTCTCACTGGAGAGGCGGTTCCTAGCTCTGGGGTGTCCGTGCGAAGCCACAGCCTCAGGCGGTGACTCCAGTTGGTGCTGCGATTCGCTCGTGTATGGTTTCCTATTGGGTAATATCTCCCACAGCTTGGCTTACCAGTCCTGGTGGATTACAAGTGAGCACACCCAGAACTGCTGGCCCCTATTTTTGACTTGGCTGTGTACTATTTAGAGGTTTGCATATTTCTGTGGCCTGCTCGTATTCTGGGAGTGCCCTTCATGTTTGGAGCCAGCGGACATTTACTTAGCAAATGTACTTGACCCTGGAGAAGCCACAGCTCCCCTGCCCTCAGGGAACTTCTGTCCAATAGGAGGGATGTTTGGCTCTGAGTGGGGAAAGGAAGTAGCGTGTGCAAAGCACCCAGGAAGAGTTCTGGGAGGCATTCAGAGGCAGAGGGACCTAGGGTGGTGGAACTTAATGGATGGTGAGAAGGGGACCCTGAAAGGCCGGTAGGGGAAGGCCATGTGGTGGGGGTGGGAGAAGGAAGAGATAGGGCAAGGTTGTGGAGGGCCTTGAGTAGCCAAACGAACGACATGCATTTTACCTGCATCCCTGGAAAGCCACGGGAGGACTGAAGGGAATAAGTCCCCTCCGGAATAGAAAGGCCTGCGGCGTTGTGGTGTAGACCAGGCAGGAGTATAGGGTTTGTAAGAGCCCGTGGAGAAATGGCATGCCTGGCAGGCTATCCGGGGGCATGGCTGGAGTACACAGGCTGGTGCCTCTTGCCCTGGTGAGCGGCACACACCTGCCTGAGAGCCCAGTGCCCTCAGGGCCTGTTCCCTGTGCCCACTCCTGTGATCAGCCATTGAGAAATCACCCCCTGCCCATATTCAGCACCACTGGGACAGAATAATGTGGAGTTGGGTGATGATTGTCTGATGCCAGCTGCAGTGTGGGGTGGCCAGGGCACTTCACCTGGGGCCTGGGGCATCCATCTGGCAGGAAGGGGCAGGAGGGGATGGGGCCAAAAACCAGATTGCTTTCCCCTGTTTTGATTGGAAGGAAAATTACAAAATGTTAAAGGTGTGTGGGTTGTACTTGTTCCCTTTTTTCTTGTTTTTGAAACACGTAGATTTGGGGTTCAGGGTTCTTCTTCCCAAAGTCAAGGAAGTGGGCGGGGGGGGGGGGGGCGGGCAGAATAGCTGGAGGAGTTCCTGGGGCCGCACCGGTGAGGAAATGAGCTGGGAGAAGCCCCTGAGGGTGCACAGGAGGCTCTCAGGACCTGCGGCTTCCTTCTCTCATTCCCCCCTCTTCTCCCAGACAGTGTCTCCCGAGAGCGAGAGATGGGGGGCTGCCCAGGCAGGCCCGAGCCCACCAGTCCAGTGAATGTCTCTGCTCCCTTCCGGTTAGCTTTCCCCTCAGGGCAGAGCCAGGAGGGAGCCGGGAGGAACCTTCCTCAGGCCCTTTCACTCCCCGCAGGCCTTCAGGGGGCTGGGCATGACGGAGAAGGCCAGTGTGCGGTGCCATGCGTGGCTCGGAGCCCCG